AGCCAACATTATAATTCAAGTGTTGGTGGGAATTCAGAAGAGACAACACACATTCACTCACTCTATGATATCTCTTTCTCCTGGAGGGCAACAACTCGAAAGGATCAGCGGATGAGAAAAAGGCAAGTTGCAGAGCCAAGAGAGATTAGAGAGAGAGATTGTGTATATGACATGTTTGGTCAAACTAACACAATTCTATCAAGCAGACTACTCTCCCTCTCTCTCTGCCGAGACCACAAATACCCAGTGTTCGCTTGTCGAGAAATCGAAATCATCCTCTCACAGCCCAAAAACATAAGAGGCAAAAGATCCCTCGTCTAACGGCAACGGCAGAAGCGGGTGCTTGCATCGCGTTAATGTAACACGACGCTTCGACCTTGGCCCTCTTTGGACGACTCGCTCAAACCATTGTTATCCCTCTTCTCTTCTCTTTTCTCTCACTCACTCTCTTGTGCCATCGTCCATTTCCCTTCTTTTCTTGTACATTTGAACAACGAGTTACGCAAAAATAACAGGGCATCACTTGACACTCCGTCACCTCACCTCACCTCACCTCACTCCTCCTCTCCCTCTCTTCCATTCCCTTTTCTTCTCTTCATCCTCAACTTTTCACCTTTGTTTGCTTCATACCAATCATTTCTTTTGCTTCTTGCACTGGCTCACCCCCCCCACTCCCTTACTCGGGGACTCGGGAAACGAGAAGATACCAACTATAAAATGAGTCACAAGTTCGTCACGGGGAGAGGCATGTCTATTGAACTCGAGCCGACTCAGAGGACCACGCTGGTGCTGTTTGAGCGTATAGGAGGCGCTGTCAGCTTGGTCGCTGTCCTCTGTATCTTTGTCGCGTATGCGCTTGTGCCCAAAGTTCGAAATGTTCAAAACACCTTCATCGTGTTTGCGAGCGTCGCGAATGTTGGTGCCAGTGTTGCGAGTATCATCGCCTTGGATGGTTTGGATCTAGGCGTCGCTTCGCCTCTTTGTCAGGCTCAGAGTTTCATGTTTCATATGTGAGTTGCCCCTCACTACCTCATTTTATTAGTACTCACTGACCTCATATAGGTTCATGCAGTCTGATCCTTGGTGGTCTCTGGCCATGGCATTCAACGTCTTCCTCGTCTTCTTCTTCCGCGCCAAACCCGACTCATTCCGAAGATGGTGGTGGATATATTGTCTCATTTGTTACGGTGGCCCTTTTGCTATTGCCATGGCGTTGCTTCTGGTTAGAACCCCGGACCGCGGCCTTGTGTTTGGTGAGGCCACTGTAAGTCTACCCTGGGCATCGAATCAAGAAAAGGGGGCATTGTTGTTGACTCGATGACAGATCTGGTGCTGGGTCAACCAGGATTGGGAAGGAATTCGTATATATACGTACTATATGCTCGTCTGGGTCTGTATAGCTGGCTCTATCATCTTCTACTTCATGGTTGGTTACCATGTCTTCCATACTCGGAACCAACTCAAGAGTTTGACTGCCTCGATGAGTCGAGAGCCAGCTCTTGTTGAGCCACCCCAGCCCCAAGCTGTAAGTCTGCATGATCCAAATAGCCCACAAGTTACCCAACTAACACTTGATAGCAACGCCAAGTCGAGTTCCTGTCAGTTCCTCAAGACTGCTTCTACGGCACTATCGTCACCGAAGTCCAGGTCGTTCACTCAACACCCTCGGCGAACCATCTCCCTAGTGAACCCAAGCCCGCTTACACTGCTGGTCCATCGTCACCCCAAGTCTCCTTTGACGAGAATCCACGTGTCGTGCAGGGATCTCACAGTCACTACTTCTCGACCTCTATATCTCCTGGCATTGACAGCAGAGAGCGAACTAGCATGTCCCCTCTCCGTCGCATAACATCAGCGACGAACCGAACCGTCAACAAATTCGTCATCGACGATCCCATCAAGCGGGCTTACTTACGCACGAGCTTCCTTTTCGCCCTTAGTGTGCTGGTGACTTGGATCCCGAGCAGTCTGAACCGCATCCACAGCTGGCTCGTCGGTACGTCCCCCTACGAGTACCACGTTGCCACGGCCGCCGTCCTTCCCCTCCAAGGACTCTGGAACGCGGTGATTTTCTTTGTAACGAGTGGAAAGCCCCTTCGAGAGTGGTACAGAAACCTGTGCCATCCTCAAGCGCTGGATAGAGAGACGATCGAGACGCGGGTGGAGCATGATGAGCATGTTGGAAGAAGCGGCGAGAGTTTCCTGGACGACACAGACTCCGGTAGTGACGTTGAGCTGCGAAGAATGGGAGAGGCGCCGGGCAAGAGATCGGCGAGTCTTTGAGGGGGAGGGTGTTTTTCAGAGGGGATCCTTTTCTTATGTCTGGCCTATATGTACGCTGATAAGATTTATGGCTTGTGATGAGTGGCGATGTGTATCGCAACCTAGATAGAATACTAGACTTGACGATAACTGGGCATCTATAGGTGACAACTGATATGGAATGTTTTCAACTGAAGGCAACTGAAGGCACATCTCTGAACGGCTCAGAGTGATAATTATGTATAGGTATCAAGAATTCCATGGCTCGGTTACATGGCAGCGCCGTGAATCACAAGAGTCTTTCCAGAGTTTCCAATTTCCTGCACCGCAGATTGTTCCACAGCCAGGAGAAGACTACTCGTTCTTACGAGCAATTCTGTCACTAATCAGCATAATATCGAGAAATTATGAACTCGGATCATACCTTTATACACAAGCCTGTAGTGAACTGGTGGATCATCATCTGGACCCGAAATGAGTGGCATCGTTTCAGATGCTGCCGGTGAAACGCTGAATCGTATCCCAACGTTGTTATGCGTATCAATCCAGATAATATTCTCAGAGTCAGACTGAGACTTATCCTGTCTACTGGCCATCTTGGCGAGCCACTTTCGGAAGACGCGGATGACCCCATCGACAATGTTGACATGGCTTATGAACAGTCCGCTCCTTGGTCCCTCCTTGACAAGGTTCGTAACAGCACAAAGCTGAGAGAACATTTCGCCATCATCAAGGTTCACATCTTGAGTGGCGGTATCATCTTCAACATCATCGGAGGGCTGCGCCTCAGTGGGACGTCTTCGGCTCCTCTTGATACTTTGGTTCTCCGGCGCAAAGACGGGCTTATAAGAAGCATAGAAAGCTCTAAGATCAGACACAGACAACTCAGGCGTATCTTGTTCACCGATAGGCTGGCCGTCCTGCCCCACGATACCCTGGTAGCTGCATGCCAAATAAGGTGTGTAAAGCTGATCGCTTGGATGGTAACACTCTAAAATAAGCTTATTGTCTGGAAGGGGCGCAGCTTGAAGTAGGCGTTGGTGGAGGAGACGAGTGACAAGAGAGCAGATGCGGCGGTTAATCGGGGCGAAAGAGAGTAGATCTTGGGTTGAGAAGGGGGCTAAGATTGAGATGAGAGTCTAAGAGAAAGTCAATTCCTTAAAATTCCTCATGTTTTCTTGAGAAAATTCACTTCGTTTGGTAGAGTTTCGATGAAGCTATCGTGAGTCGTCATCATCATAGACTAGGGCTCTCTGAAGGTGGCGGCGATACGACAGACAGCGGGTATATTGTCTACAAACAACAAACAACCTCAATAGAGAAGAATAAGCAAACAGATAAAAATAGCGGGCGTATATTGAAGCTAGTGGAAAGAAGATTTGGGCGCTGATAGAAGGATACTCAGTTTTTGGCCGTGTTATGTTATGTTGAGTATAGGTAGGTAACTTTGTAGCTTCAAGATGAGGTGACAGCTTCATCAAATAAATGTCCTAAAACGCGGGGGAGGGGCGGACTAATTTAGTCAGCATCCGCCAATCCGAATGACGAAATACTTGTCTCTGCATCTTTGATAAGTTGATAGCATTATCAAATCTTGTACCAATCGAGAATCCTTACATACCAAATATAGCTGATAGATTCCCTGCTCACAACCAAGGGATGCTTCAAAGCGTGACAGGTATAGGTTAATACCCACACTATAATCTTCAAACTAACCCCTTTGTATATATCTCGAGGTTATGACCCCAACAGAAGTTGTATGCCACTCGATTGGCTCCTCCATAGCTTGATCTTCTCTCAACAGAACGACAAGTGGCCATTGAGTCTGTTGAAATCTAACGCGCGGCTGTTGACTTTCGGCGTTGAGTGTTTGACGCCGACATGAAACCATCTTAGCCACAAGAGATGTCTTTTATACGAGAGCGTACCCAATCAGAAGCTTCATTATAAGCCAAATTCCCTAATGAACGAAATATTTGTGCTTGTATAAGACTGTTTAGGTTGTGAAGCTCTTAGTTAGCGGTACTTGTGAATGAATGCCGGAGCCAGGACCCGGAGCGGAGTGGGGCTTAACGGGGACCCAGTTTGTAAACGCGGAAGGCGTCCCACTTTAATCCGGTTAACCTCAACCTTCCCTCAACCTTCAACTCAACGACCACAAAGCACTCAAACATTATAGGAAGGAAGACTCTAAATTACCTACCTTACAGAGGAAGGTATCCATTACAGGTTACCTTAGTAAACTGCCTCCCTGTATCGAAATATCCTTATTATAGTCTCCAACCTCACCAAGACATATCCTCAAGAGCCTCAAATGCTCAACATATCCGCTTGGAGTCTTCCTCAAGGTTCAGCCTCAACATAAGGTGCGATCGATTTTGGTATTCAAGAAATCGTATTATCAGCCTCTTTCCCGTATCGAATATGTGCTCGGCCAAAACCAACCCAATATGCGAGCGCCGTAAACATCTTTTCAACAACAAACACATATTGAAGGCCAAGAATTGGCGGGAAAAGATCTGAGGCTCAAAACGATAGGGCCGTAACTTTCTATATGGTCCGATTACTGAGGGGAGGTAGACGCCATGGCTCTCAACTCACAACGCAATCGGAGAAGGCGTCCCATTCGCAGGATCAAGTGACCATGTTTCTATAAAGTCTCATTGACCCTGGGAGATCCTTGCTTCTCTATCAACCTCCTTTGAACCTCTCCTACACGGCACAGCTCTTTCGAAGCAATGCGTTTCAACACTCTGGTGGGCCTCGGCCTTCTGGCAGCCGAGTCTGCCCTTGCAGTCCCCTGCCCACCGGGTAAGTAGCAAAAGAATCATGAAAGATATAGAGCATCTACTTACAGAACGCCTTAGCAAGCGTGACAACCGCAACCCTCGATGTGACTACTACCGCCACGCTGAATATCACTGATGCGGCGACGGACACCGTTACAGACACTGTGTTTGAGACCAATACCGTTAACTCAACGGCCGTCGTCACTTCTACCGAGGTGGATCGTGTTGCTACGACTAGTACTGCTACTGTCAACGCCACAGTGACTGAGTTTACCACTGTCAACTCAACGGTCTTGTTCACGTCCACAGAGACCGATGTGGACGTTGCCACCACAACTGCAACTGTTAACTCTACTGCTGTCTTTACCATTACAGAGACAGAAGAGGTCACCAGCACCGCGACCAACACTGTTAACAGCACAGCTCTGTTCACGACTACTGAGGTTGATGTCGAGACCAGCACCGAGACTGCTACAGTCAACTCTACGGTGCTGTTCACGTCCACAGAGACTGACTTCACTACCGAAGCGACTACTGCTACAACTGTTGTCTTGGTCACAAACTCAACTACCGTCACTCAGACTTCCACGGTCAATGCCACAGAGACCGCTTTTGAGACCGATACGGTTCTCACCACTGCTACGGTGAACGCTACCTCAACTGTCAATGTCACGGCTACAACAGTCGAGACTAACACGGCTTTCGTTACTTCTACTGTTGATATCACTGCGACAGTGAACACTACAGCAACAGACTTTGTTACTTCAACTGTCAACACTACGGCCACTTCATTCGAAACTGATACGGTTCTCACCACTGCAACAGTCAACACGACTGCAACAGACTTTGTTACTTCGACTGTTAACACTACGGCGACTGCTTTCGAAACCGATACGGCTTTCACGACTGCAACTGTGAACACCACTGCTACAGACTTTGTCACTTCGACTGTCAACACTACAGCCACTGCTTTCCAGACCGATACAGTGACTTCTACTGTTAACACTACGGCCACTGCTTTCCAGACAGATACAGTGACTTCAACTGTCAACACTACAGCCACTGCTTTCGAGACTGATACGGCTTTCACGACTGCAACAGTCAACACCACTGCTACAGACTTTGTCACTTCGACTGTCAACACCACAGCCACTGCTTTCCAGACAGATACGGTGACTTCAACTGTCAACACTACAGCCACTGCTTTCCAGACCGATACAGTGACTTCTACTGTTAACACTACGGCCACTGCTTTCCAGACAGATACGGTGACGTCAACTGTCAACACCACAGCTACAGCCTTCGAGACTGACACGGTGACCTCAACTGTCAACAGTACTTCCACGGCCTTCCAGACTGATACTGTCTTTACCACTGCAACTGTCAATGCTACTGACACAAGCACGGCCACTGTGACAACAACCCAGACTGTCTTTGTAACAGCCACAGGAACTCCCACCGACGTGACATCTACCGAGACCAGCACTGAGACTGCGACTGTCGATGCGACTTCCGTAGTGACTGACACTGTTAATTCAACTTCTACAGTAGTTGTTACTGCCACTGTGACATCCACTGTTGATACCCCATCCACAAGCGCCAGCACATCTTCTTCTGACGCTGCATCCTCACCAGCAGCTACTTCATCTCCCGCAGCGGCTGCCACAACCACTACCACAACAGCTGCTGCTGCGGTTACTACGAGTGCTTCTAGCGATCCTGCTGCTTCAGATACTACGTCTTCGCCAGCACTGGCCTCCTCTGATTCTACTTCTGCCGCCGCTACTGGAACAGCAACAACCACCGTTACTACGAGTGCCACTGGAGCAGCTACCACTTCATCCGCTGTCGATGGCGCTCCCGTCGATGACACTCCTACGACTTCATCGGCTAGCCCCGCGGGCACTACGACTGCAACTACTACTGTTGACCCCGCTACCACAACCGGTGCCTAGAGTATTTCATTAGGCCTATAACTGACAGCGTATGAGAGAGCCCATTTCTGATTTATGAGTGGCCATCCCGAAATGGAACTGTGAAGGAGAAGATGGCCGAGTAATGCTTACTTGGTATTTGACGGTCCGGTTACATAATGAAGCTTCTCAAAGAACTAGGTGTGGCTAAGATGGGACAAGCACATCGTGGAGTCATACTCCGAGCTTGATTGGTTTTGTGTTACGAATAGCTCAAAGCCTTTCCTTAAGAATTGGGTCTTTCAAAGTTACTTTTGATTCTGTCAAGCAATATACATGCGTTTGGATTCGAGTTGGCTTGAGTATAACCATGACAAGAGCCAAGTGATCAACATTGTTCCTCACCATAATCAATTACCCCATTGACTTTACCGAGACATGTTACCAGAAAACAAGCATATGATCGTCGATCTGACATATGAAACATCTGCAAGTGAGAAGCACATCATTTTATCAAAGTGTCATTCATCCAGGATATGGGGTTATCCTTTCACAAAGCAGATTGTGTAACTCGGCACCTTGGGCAGATAGCGAATAGAGTCCCCATCGTCTACCCGCCGATTGAAGGAGAAGGGCGGGTTTCTCGAGATCGCCGCTAAGTTGTGAGACGCTATAAAGGCAAGTGATGGCGAGGGAACAGACAGGGTTTTTGGTTATGCGGCGTTATGCTGCGTGGACCCTGAATTGGGGGAGAGAGATATGTTGTGTCATATAATCTCCGACAAAGGAGTACAAAGATAGGATCTTGTCCAGAGAATGCTGTTCGCCTCCAGGTAAGGAGTAGAGAGCACAAGAGTTGCCTGCTCAGGGGTATCAGCGCTAACAAAGACAAAAGAAAAAAGAAAAAAAATAGAATACCGGAATTCTGATGTTTCAGTTGAGATGCAACTCGATATATGATATCCGTATCATATCGGAGCTGCAACATATGCCGATATAATGCCGTCTGTATGTCTCAGTATGTAGCTTAAACAACGCCTCATTGTTACCTCCCCGAACGGGGCTTTGACAGTTTTGGGAGACCGGGGAGAAGAGCTACGATCATTGCCAACATGAGTCTTCCAGGCATACGGAAAGACACACAGACTGCAGCAAGATCGCCGGGTTGCATTCTGTTGTGCTTTTCGACTGTCAGGACTGAGATCGCTTCCGCTGCCATGGTAGAGGCATTTGCAGCAAAGTTCGCATACCACTTAGCTCTGTGGGCTATCATGTATATCATTGGCTTGTGTCAGTTAAACGAATCTACATGTTTATCTCACTTACTGATATCAACTAAAGGTGCTTTGGCATATGAGATCGGGGAATCTTCTATATCCGATTATCGTCGACTTATCAACAGCTTCCTTGGTGTTACTACATGAACACACTCCATAACATCCATATAATCAGAGAAGCATGCATCAATTAGCATCTCCCTGCCGGCTCTTGCAGTTGTGTCGTGACATCACAACGTAGTATCCCGTCAATGATATACACGTCAGTCTCCCTGCCACTCAAATCCTCGTGGGGGCACATCTCGTCAACCCGGAAAATCTGGTCTCCTCGTTTCCCGCTTAGGATTACTGATATGACGGCCAGCAATGCTAGAAAGACGGGAGCGCTCTGGGTCGAGTTGTACAGAGAATCGGGATCGGCGAGAACAAGTTTGCCGTGTCGCGCGCAATCTTGTGCAACATTGTTTGGGGAGATAGACATGGGGTTCATGAAGCAACTTTTGACAGCAAACATTGCATTATCTATGCAGAGATGAGTTCGAGACTATGAAATAGATGGTGGGTGGTAGTCGGCCGATTCGTTGAAAGAGATGGTGGGTTGTAATCTTTCATCGATAGCATACAGCTCGATGCTCACTGTTGGTATTGTCAGAGTAGCCTTGAGGTTTGGAGCCGACATTTGTTTATAATCGCGAGTCTTTCGCGGACATAAGACTGAGTTAGGGCCGATTTATGCTTGTTGCTTTCTCTCCCCAGGTAACTAGACCTGTATTCGTCCCAGGGTTGCTGCCAGCAATGGGAACTATGTTTAGCATCAATCTAACTCCCCCCAAACTGACAGTTGGTAGGCTATGAAAAACAAAGAGTACCAATAAGAGCCCTTGGGCTACATTGAGAATTTGAAAGTATAGAACATCCGTCACAAGTATATATCCACTGATTGCTTCGTAGATAACTGATCACCAAAATTGTTGCTGAATGTTACTTAGGCTTCATGCTTCTCTCAATGTAGTGCATGTCACTCATCATAATTTCCGTTCTTGACTAATCTGTCTTAAAAAACAAAAGAACCCATCAAACAGGGTGTGGTTTTTCAGTCAGATTTCCAAGATAAGAAATAAGATGTGTGAGGATTGAGTGGCATGTAATTCTATAGGGCAGAAGCGCAAAATGCTTATCACCGCCTTGATATCATTTGGCAATAAAGCGTCTTCAAAGGCAACCAGGATACACGCCACATCAGCTGATATGCATCAAACAACCTTCGGACTTGGAAGAAAGCGCGAGAGCGCGATACCTAGGTCCAAAGTCCGTCTGGTATAAACATGCTCAAACCTAGCCAACGATCGTCGTGAAGGAGCTGGATGTGGCGCCAAAATGGTTGCCCTTGTATATTACCGTTCACCAAAGGAAACCCTCTGACGGGCCGCTGAAAAAACACTGTTTCAGAAGCTGTGTTGCCTTTCCATACCTAGAGTCGTTCCCTGCCTAGTCGAGTAACTGCGGAATGATCAAGGCCTCATGTCAGCAATGACATTGATGCCGTTAGCGTTGATTGATCAGTTCATAGGGCTGAGCAAGTAAGCCGTCATCTGGCCTCGCGGCTTAGACCCTGTTCCTGCTGCTTTCTTATTAGTCGTCGCGTTTCATAAGGAGTAAGCATATTTCCGACTGGTCGCAGCCCCAGGTTGTGCCCGGCAAGTTCTCATTCCAATCTGACTAGTTTCCCGTCGGCGTGTTTATACCACTCGGAAACACTTCCAAAGCTGGAAGAGAAAACCCGCAGGTTGCGTCAGACCGGCCCGTTCCCGCGTAAGCCTCATCCGTTATAGCGCGGAGGGTATTTGCTCCGTCAACGTAATGTAGGCAATCCGTACCAATGTATCAGGAAGGTCGTGTAAGCCGGCGGCCGGCATTTCGGCATGACTGGATGTTTGATCCCCACCTATGCTGACTTTTGAAAACGGAGCCTATGGGTTGTGGGAGTAAGACTGATGAAACTTTATTCATCTTCTCCTAGTCCGTATGTTTCTTTGGATGTTGTTGTGTATATTCACTTGGTTGTTGTCGTGATGCTGTAAATTGTCAGCCACCACACCCTCATTTCTACCAACTCCCCCTAACGCAGGATCGATCCTTGGCTTCCTGGTGGCGGCTCTCAGTACCTGAGTCCAATGTGTGTAGGCGTGCCCGATAGACATCGGCCTTGTTTCCACGTGGTAGATACTCCCATTGCGGCAACATTAAAGATATCGGCGATTATCCTCATCAGTCGATTCAGTGAGCAGCATGTCGCAAATGCAAAACAAAGACGTATAACTTCGACATTGAATGGACAGTCTTGGCATGTATGAAATAGCCCGAATCTGAGGCCTATTTGTTTCGTTGGTGCTGGTTTGATTCCGGCGAGATCATCCAAACAGGCTGGCCATTACCGTAATTTCAGGATCCTGCTTGCCCTCAGAAGTTTTGAGAACTTCAAACATCCTCGTTGGGGATATCAAAAACAGCCTCCTGGTCATTGTCGATGCGAGTTGTGATGGCTGTCGATCAATATGCAAGGATCCCGCCAGCAGATCCCCGTGTGGCACTCTAACTTTTTTTCATGAAGAGAGAAATGGGGGGCTTTTTTCTTCCTCTTCTTTTTTGGTTATCTGACAAAATATTCCTTTTGTCTCTTCTATCTGTGTCTCGTTTCTTCGTAAGACGGTCATGGATACGATGCTTACCCAATACATCTCCCCGTGAATCTCCCCAGGTTGATCTGACACAGGACGTTGAAAAATAACTGCCTTTGAACGAGGTCTTGGTCCTTCTGTTGCACAGAAATCCTGTCCTTGACTGCATTATTCCTTTGAAACATTCTTGAATATCGATACTTTGCTTGTGATAACAGACTGCGGCCATTGTCAAACGCTTGGTTTCACCATCTGAAGTCTTCGGTGAGCAGGCTTTGGTATCCTTGTGCTCATGCTTATCGTTTTTCTTGAAGCATGTTCAGTGTTGCATCATTCCAACATTCCGCCCCGGTGTGCGGCTCTGTCATACTAAGCTGCCTGCAGTTCCGACTGGTTCGACCTGATGAATGTTTCGGAGTGACAAACAGCAGCTCAGCCTTGCCGTGTCGCAGAGGTCCACCCAATTGTAATGCTCGTATCGTTCTCACCCAGTTGCAGCGGTAGGGCCGTGGTCAAGAATCAGATTAAGCTTTTGAGTAGTTCAAGACAGGTCCTCGACAATGTGGCACAGAACACGGTGAAGAAGTTGAGCTGCTATGTCGATACACGGTGTTCAACGGCCCAGATATTTGGGATCTGGAAACTCGAAACCGGGACAAGCATGAGGTGGCTGATTGCGTATTTCATTGCTCTCAGGCGACCTCCTCGGCCATTTCTCTCACTGAAAAATGGAGGCGTGTACACAGTAAACCAGGCATTGTGAATGCAGGATGCCTGTCAAAGGATGCATAGCGCCATATTTGGTCCTGTAGCATGTGTGTGAAACATCTGCCGGCAGTGCAATCTTCAGCTTTTCTAGCCCGCCGCGGTAAGGATGAGCACCGCAAATTATCATAGGCTGTCGTTTGCTTCGTGTATGCAAAAACGGAGGATCCTTGTAAAATCGACAATTTCCAAGTCTCCAATGAGTTGTTCAAGCCTTGTTGATGGAAAATGATGAAGGACAAAGGTGCCAAGATCATCAAGCCCGAATTTAATGTGACGCAAAAGCTTAAGTAATTCTGGGGGCCTGTGTAAGTCGTACCTACTGTAGGTACCTAGGTAGGTAAGGTTGGTATCTGAAAGGAACCTAAGGTGCTTGGCCCGCTACTTCCACACGTCGAGTTACAATTAATGTTGGAAGGAGTATCTTTAGCTTTGGCCGGGTACTACCTACCTCATTGGGAAATACGGGCAAGTATGAAGTACATGCGTACCTTCCTTTCTTCCGGATAAAGCTGACTGCTGAACTTGGCTCATACATCTCGACTTCCATCAAAGCGTTTACAAGTCAAGAGTTCTTCTTTGTCATCCTTTGTTTTCTTACAAACACGAGCCCTCTAATACCCCCCTTGTTAAGACTCTAGCGCCATTTTCCTGCAAGACATTTCTGTGTTGCCATCAGAGCGGCGCCCCCGAGTCCGGCGGCCATACGCAAGATGTAGCGATACCAATGACCAGGCAAAGACGTACGGGGTTACCTACGATATGACGAAGTGTGTAACCTCAAATCCATCGACTAAGCTCCCATAGATGTACACGGATTTGTGTGCTTGTACCGATAGAGCTGACGGTATCGCGGCCTTGATCATCATTATGCCAGCGAGCAAGCCACTGTCTTGCCGTGGGGGAGACAAGACCTCCACATCTTCCTCGAGGTTGACCGTTCCTTTGAACCTTTCGCTGACCTGTTTCTTAAGATCATTTCTCACGTAATGATATCGGTTGTCGTACCGCGATTCTTGTCCTCCTAGCGAGCCTGCTCCCCCTCTTTCAGACCTGTCAAATGACTGTATGCATCCAGTGCTTGGCCACTCATCTATATCCTTGTATCATTCATTGAAAACTGATCGAAACCCGGAGCCTTTGACTCTTTTTAATCTGCAACCAAGAACAAAAATGTGGAATAACCAGGGCAAAGAGGTTTGTTTAAAAACATCAATGAACTTGCTAGCATTGACTGACGAGAAAGGAAACAGCCGCAAATGTGGTCTACTCACGACTTGGCTTGTGCCCACTGCCGAGCACGGAAAATTAGATGTGGAAGAGAACGGCCGCAGTGTGAAAGTTGCAAGCGAGACGGTGTTGAGTGTCGATACTCGTCTCCCGGCAAGCGCGTCAATCATGTCAAACTCTTGTGAGTCTGGAAGCGCCATTTGTTCCCCCCATGGTTGGTGCACAAAGGCTTACAAAACTATTTGTGTTTCAGATGCCAAAACTTCGAGACGCTTGAAGGCCAACTGCACAGTATCCAGAATGATCTCTCAGACTTGACATCACTTGTCAAAGGTGGGAGTAGCGTAAGATCTTTATCTCTTCCTGCTGAGGAATGGGCCCCCGAGAGCAATTCTGGGACGGATTCGACGTCAACCCCTCACACAAATCGTCACATTGTCAGAAGCACATCACAATCACTTGATCGCTATCATGGACCATGCTCTCTTTATGCTCTTTGTAAGGAATTTAGCGACCACCCATTATTTTCTGTTTCGGAGAACAATAACTCTGGGGAAAATGCTGTTTCCGAGCATATGATGTTACAAGAGATGCTCAATGAGGCAAGCAACGAGCCTCACTTAGACATGCTGTCTCATCCTGTTGGTATATGTCTCCCACCTCGACAGTTTCTCAACCTTGTCATCGGCCCTTTCTTCAAGAATGTCGATTATGCAACTGATGTCTTTGTGCGATCTAATTTCCAACCCCACGTCGACCGAATCTATTCACAACCTATTGGGCCTGCGGATGAAGGTTGGGCTGTCTGTTTCAATGTGATTGTTCTTCTCGGCATCAAGAAGGAGCCCACGATTCAGGGCAACAGCCACTTTGTCCAAACACTCCTACAGACACTGAAAATGGCTGTCAATAACCCTCGAGTATTCTTAACACCAAGGCTCGTTAATGTCCAAGCGCTTGCTCTTTTGGTAAGATACATCTTGGCTCTCATTATGAAACTAAACTGACTGTTGCGGCAGAGTTACGTGGCCGAACAGTACAGCACGACTTCGCTTGCAGAACTCGTCTTCGCTCAAGCCTGTCTACTGGCTCGCACCATGGGTCTTCATCAAAGCAATGCATCTTCCGATGGTCTCCCACCAGAAGACATATTGGAACGACACAAGGTTTTTAGATCATTATATATCAGAGATAAAAATATTGCCATATTCCGCGGGTCTACAGCCTGGCTACCAGGTTATGATTCCGGCGTCCCCCCTTCCTTTGACGAAGCCGGAACAGGAACACCCGATGTATTAGCCCGCCTAGAGCTCGCGAAACTTAAGGATGAAGTTTACCAGGCCTTCCATGCGGCCGGTGCACCCAACTTACATCATTCGAGACACAACCAGGTACTGGCACAGTTACAACAACGATTGGAACAATGGTCTTCGACTCATAGCATCATGCAGAGGGGTTTGATCTCCACTGAAACATTCTCTCTCATGTTATCTTTCTTCGCAACAAGGATCTGTTTAAGCAAAGACAATGGTGACATGAGATCTACTCAGCCGTTCAAGGACGCCAAAGCATGCTGTCTTGTCTTCTTACTGGCCACAGCTACAAAGCCAGATTTACGCCTTTCTGAGACTTTGAAAGAGATGCTAGGCCAATCAAAGTTTCTCGACCAACCCAGCTCCAGAAAGACGAAAAGAAATTCCCGAACTCAACCGGCGGTGTCTGAAAACAATGAGTCTGCGACCTCATCCCTTCCTCGCTTGGCTGCAACTTTCCCACTAGCGGCTGCTTTCATAGTTGCTAAAGATATCTTGTTGCAGCCAATGGGAGAAGTGGATGGCACCCCCGGTCGGCCAGAAGAGGAAATAACAATTTTGGAAGCTCTTCGGGATCGATTTGCAACGGCTGCTGAGCAAGCCCATGTCGATAACCTTGCATTAAGCTTCAGTAGGATCCTGGGTCTATTGGTTAGAATTGTGCGCCAGAAACGATCCCTTGAAGCAAACAACACCCCTTCTTTAGCCTTCAACGACCTGCCAAGCCTGCATTCAACAAGATCATCCAGCTCTTTACAGGAAAGTGTGGTGAGCTCTTTCAAAGACACACCACCAGGCCCCGAGAACTTTTCAACAGTTAGTTCTATTAGTGAAGCCGTCTCGAATTCTTCTCTTCTCTTACCATTTACTCAGCCACTGGAGGATTCGGCTAGCGGCTCACCGTGGTTTACAAACGTGGGTCAAAACATCGGACTAAACAATAACCCAGTCTTAATGTCCTGGCCTATTCAACATAAGCGACAGTCTGAGGAAGCCGACCACCTCACCAAGAGACCTAGAATATCCTGCCAAGAAGAATACTTGGACATTCCAGCAGTGTACCAGGATCATGGTTCACGAACTGAAGATGACTCTTTATTTACGTTCGACTTTCTAAACACAGGAACGGATATCTCTGTTTTCGATATGGAAGACTAGTTGTTTATTCAATCTATGTTTCTATTTAGGGGTTTTCATTGGATTTTCTGCTATCTTAGGCCATATATCGGACTTAAATCTCTTTCCCCTTGTTCTTGAACTGGGTTTTGGTAGAATATATACGAAACAGACGTACAATGCACTACTTGGAGTGACAGTTGGTGCTGGTTTAATAGCGATGGTGAATGGGCGATCTATCTATATCAAGCCTCTTACCTCAATGAGATCACTGGGTTGCTTCGGAATGTGGCATGCTCACTTGAGTATGGAAGGCTACCTGAGAGATATAGCCATGGAAGATTTAGGCTCTCCTCACGATGCATGTTCTGATACGAATGCGCTATATCTGGCAATTGCTGCCAACGAAAAACACACCGTTTGCATATGCACACTGCTGTACGTTGTTGTTATTACGCTAAATCCTATGACAAGCTGACATCGACGTATGCTATTACAATAGCCAAAGTATCGTTTCACCTTGGTTGTAGCACTTCGACTAGCCTCCGCAGCATCGGGGCCTTTCACTCTTGTTTTCTCGATCCCAACTCGACTCAAATGTGCCACTGAGATCATGATACAAGTGCGAGTTGCTCAGCTGACTTCAGGCGGCGAGAATAGTCTTGGACATCATCGATCCTGCAGCAGCTGTGCGACTCTTGTTCAGCAATGGATTCTTTGGGTTCTTTTTTCCAAGAATGTCCGCATTTTTACTTACTTGCCACTTTCCTTATTGTGAAGGCTACAGCTGTGGAATGTTTGCATCATGGTCCGGACTGGTCGCCATACAAACGAAATACGAGATGTTGTCACCTGAGGAGGTCGCTCCAAACCAAGGTTGAAGCATTGATCTGGTGCCAAGATTATTGCTCAGGCAAGAGGCGTGTCCGAACTTGAGGATGTGGAGGGTTGGTCGTATTAACAATATACCCAGCTCGGTACCCGTACCAATATATCTTTCGCGCAAGGACTCGATTCTATACTCATAATCCAGCCAACACCTGTGGATCTAAGAGCGCGGTATCAAAGAATATCGCCCATCATGAGTAAATGAATACAGCCGACGGGCTGGTACCTGAGGCTCTTCGGAAAGATACATACCTTTCGTGGTACCAGACACTGTTACAAAGTGTTAGACCAAGCCAAAAGCTCGGGGAACACCTTACTATAGCAAGGTCTTCCTAGGTATATGACTGACTAACACAAAGTAGGGCTCTGCCGTTACGTGTAACCATGAATCTATGAAAATAGCCTGGATGTGTTGGAATCAAGGATTTCGAGGCCCTCACTCGCCTTATTTGTTTGGAAAAGAGTACCACAGCAGGCGGTAGGAATAAGACTAAGGTGATGCGACGCGCACTGCATGCATGAAGATTACTGTTTGAACTATCCAATTATATTGGACCTGGTCTATCTATCTGGTAGATAAGTACTTTCTATCGTTTTGCTATCAACACAGTCGCTCGCTCGCTCAATCCTGATCCTGAAGCTTTCTAGTTGGCAGCAGCAGGCTCAGCAGCCTTCTTTCGCTGCAACAGACAGTGCCTACCCCATTTTCTCTTGAACTTGTCCGGGATGAATGACGCATCCGGAACCCAAAGAGTCCTTGCGAGCATGTGTGTCTTGGCAGCGTCAAGGAAAGGCTCGCACTTGACAATTTCCCAGTTCTTCTCGTCTGCAATGTAGTCGGGTTCATTTGGCGGCAGAGGGTCATGTCTCTCTGGGTATTGAGTGTCGACCAAGAATGCGCACGCAGGGAGCTCCGTGTATTTGCCCAAATCCTCCTCGTTGTGATCATTCATACCCGCTGTTGGAAGCCAAGTGCCGCTCCAAAAGCCGAAGCCAGTCTCGGCTTCGGCGAACTCACCAGGCAGAAGACCTCTGAACTCGGAGCGGACAAATCTGGCATGCATATCCCTGGGCAGAAAGTAAGATGAAGGGAAACGATACCACTCTTTTCCGAAGCAGACGGTATCCTCCTCACGGCCGATGGGCTCTTTGCCATCTGTCCCCTCCCACAGGGGAGAGTAAATCTTCATAGGTCCAGAGTAAGCGGACCAGATACCGTAGACACGGAAAAGAGCGACATCGATAGACAGAATCATGGTGAGAGTAACAACCAGGAGCTTTAGCTTGGCAGGAATCTTTCCAACAAGGGACTTAGGATCAGAGTTGCCCAAAGCAGTCAAAATCATATGAAGAGAAATGGCTGCGTTGAGCGCTAGGAAAGGATAGGCCGGATACATGAACCTTTCCTCCTTGTGAGGCTGTGCGCTGAAGATAGCCAGCCACATGTAGAAGGGAGAGAGAAACACAACGGTTCTTAACCCGGTCTGGAACCCTTGGCCGGATGGTGAAATGATCTTCTGGAGTATGAAGAGAGGCAGAGCAGCAAGAGCCAGAACAAACCATAGGTTGAAGTTCAGAGCCAGATTCTTGAAGTAGAATGTCCAAGGCTCTGTTCCATATAGCTCTGGGCCATGGTTTGACGAGAAGATGTTATACTTGACAATGTTCCATGTCACAGAAACCGCCTTCTTATAGAAGAAGAGGTTGACAAAGTAGTCACCGGCCTAGAAATATTAGATCGGCCTTGAAGCAGAGAAACACAGACCTACAAGAAGCAAGATTGCAGAAACTACACCACGACCAATGCGAACAAATGCTTCCCACAACGCTGTCTTGTCACCAAATAAAAGCAGGATGAGCTCTTCGAGCATAAAGGGCGCACAAAGCGCAGCAGCAAAAGGCCATCCCAGAATTCCAGCAGCAGCAAACCAAAACATGCCCTGAGAAGTCTTGAGACCACCTCGCCAGTTCATAAAAGCTGCAGCTCCAACAGTGACCAGGTACATCGCAAAGCTCGATGGAAGGTAAGCAGTGCTTGCATGGAAGTTCCCAGGGCTTGCAATAGTTGCGATGAGGAAGAAGAGGCCAATTCGGCTATTGAGCGTGGTGCTGGTGACCATGAAAAGGATCGTCTGAGTGATGGCGCACACGAATGCTAGCCCAAACCGCACAAAGTAGAATTCGGCGACCTGAAGATACGGCGTCAATGGACCTCTTTTCGTATGTCTCATCGTATGCAGCTCACCTTGTTCGAGTGAGGAAATATTCGACGCACATTGCCGACAATGGCGTGAAAGGCGACGTAGAGCCAGCTGCGTATAGCATAGTCTGGAGAATATTCCCACGTCTGAAGACCATAGCCATGGGACAAGTAGTGAGTCGGCTCCCAGTAATTGAACGTCTCATCGCAATCTTGAATCGGGGCGAACCAGGCGGATACGAGAGCGGCACCGAGGAACCAGTAGAAGGCGGAAATCGGTTGCATAGAATATGCGCTTGGAGCTCTAAATTGAGAAAGGCATACATGGTTAGTAGAGCTCTCGAAGTGGGATGAAATAAGCATTCTACATACTTTTTCTTGGCATGACTGGCGGTTGGATGCACAAACTGCCGCTGTTGCGACTGTTGGGCTGTACCTGGAGCCATCGTTGTTGTCGACTCGAATTTCGACGTGAGTTAAGATGGTTTACAAGGAAAGGAATGTTGTCGTCATGTCATGGTGAGTGGGTAGACAAGATGTGGGTGGGTAGGGAATTTGGAGCTTCCTTCAACAGTTGGGGAAGGGGCCTTACCATGGGAACCTACTTAGGTAGCACTAACTAACCACTAACACTACCTTACCTAGCACTAACATTTATTAAAGCAGGCGCCTTTTAAGGCTTAACCGAGGCGCGTGGCTCACCGACGGTGAAGCATGTGCTGTGGGGTACTAGCGCCGGGAGACCAGTTCCACTTTATTGTTCACCTTGATTTTTCTTGCTGGCGCTAGCATGGAAGGGTCTTTTACCCATGAGGAAGAGGCGCTCTGAAACTTTCTGCTTTTCTTCATCTTAATTTTTGCGCCTGTCGCATTCTAATCTGTCTTTTGGTCTTTACCGTCTCATCTATTTCTAATGAGTCAAGAGTACCTTAATCTTCCATCTATCATTTTACTCAAGACAATATATAACAAAGAGCCCACAACACAACATGTCCGGTTTTCAAATCCCCGGCCTTGGCCAGGCCAAACCCAACGAGACTCTTCCACCAATGCCCGCCGATGTTCTTGCTGCTGCCACAAGTGTTCAAGATACTGAGATCACAAATGCTGCTCCTAATAACACCACAGACCAGCCTTCAGCATCTGCTGTCACTGAGGCTAAGCCCTCTGAGGCTGAGCCTACTCTAGTCGCAGTTTCAGATGCCATGGCAGTCGATCAACCCGAAAGTCCTCCTTCTCTGACAGGTGCCCTCGAGGCCGCTATCGGCGGTCTCAACCCAACTCCTGCTGCGCAAGCAGCCCCTACAGAGAACACCGAGACCGTACCACTTCAGAACGACCAGGGCGATAATCCTGAATGGGAAATCGACTCTTCACCATACGAATCATCCTCAGAATCAAGCAGCTCTGATTCCTCCGACGAAGACTCCGACGACAACGAAGGTTACGAGCTTTTGGGCGTTGAAGAGACCGCGCGCCTGCTCATGCAGGCTGAAGGAGGATCAGATGACGAGGGCGATCGAGGAGCTACTGGTTCAAGAACCACTCAGGTCCGAACAAAGAATGAGATTCCTGAAGAAGTAATTCCCAAGCCTAATGTTACAATTACACCCGAGATGAAGATTGAGGAGCTGGGAGCTATCGAGCACATCGTGGAGAACATGATGTTGATCAAGGCATTCACACCTGGCGAGTACCAGGTTCTTGATTCTGGATCCGTGCTCTGCACAGCTGAACGAGTCGTCATCGGTGCGATTGCAGACACGATCGGAAAGGTTCTTCAGCCCATGTATACCGTGCGCTTCACATCAGAACAGGACATCAAAGACTTGGGACTCGAGGTCGGCCGAACCGTGTACTACCCTACCGATCACGCCGCGTATGTCTTCACCGAGCCATTGAAGAACATGAAGGGCTCAGACGCCAGTAACCTCCACGATGAGGAAGTCGGCGATGACGAGATGGAGTTCTCAGACGATGAGAAGGAGGCCGAGTATAAGCGAGCGATCAAGCAGAAGAAGAAGGACAAGTGGAAGAAGGACCCGGCCAGGGGAGGCAAGGAGCCTCATCCTCTGCGACAAGAATCGCGACCGGACGGAGGCCTCAACTACGACGACGACGATGACGGCCCCTACAAGCCTCTAGCACGGCCACCCGGTTATGGCTCCGGTCCCTCTACAACAGAGACCTACGAGCCTCCATCGAGCAGAAATTTTCACCAGCGAGGAGGACGCCGTGGCGATTCTCGAGGGCGTGGGGGTCGTGGACGTGGTTCTGGACGTGGTGGAAGAGGAGGTTCCAGCCAGCCTAGAGACGGCTACTCGCTACCTCCTCAGGCGTCTCCTCAGCATGCCCAACAGGCTGCTCCTCCAGCCCCATGGGCCGGTGCTCAACCTGCAACTCATGGCGCGCCACCAGCGATGCCCAACTTTGGTTTCCAAATTCCTGGTTGGCCTCAGTCACCTGCTCAGAGTAATGCTGCGGCTGTTCCACCACCTCCTCCTGGATGGCCAGCTGCACAAGGTCAACAGCAGGCTGCCAATGGCGGATCTTTCGTCAACCCGGCATTCTTGGCTGCGTTGATGTCGAGTATGCAAGGGCAGCAGAACAGCCAGTCGCCCTGGGGACAGCAGCAGCAGCCTCCTAATAATGGAAATGGACAGGGCCAGTAAACGATCTGTAAACAAGGGGTGTTAGTAGGTCATCAGTGGCGCTCGGGATTTTTCTTTATAGGGGTATAGACAAAAGGGCAAATCAAGTTATATGTAAGCAATTCATGATGTAATTACAACCTTGTGGGCAATCTTCTGGACTAGTTGGTAAGCACTTTTCTGGTGCACGTTTTGTATAGTTTCAAACAGATGGTCTTATTCAATGCTAACTATGCGTGTATCCTCATATGTAATCCGTTGCTCATAATAACTGAGTCGAGGCAACCCATCCAAAAAGGAGATGGCTGCTTTCTACACAAAATTTCACAATATCGGTCGTTTACAGGTCACTCCACTTCTCCTCAGTCTTGTCAGAGAAGTCGTAGAACCCAAGCTCGTAAACAAGACCAAGGGTCATGCGAGCATGCTCGAGCATGTGGTCGAAAGACAGATACTTAATGCTATCATCGGTACCGTGGATATGAGGGTCAGAGTACTCGAAGGCGGACTCAATAACAAAGGCTGAGGGGTAGCCGGCCTTGGAAGCAGAAGCATGGTCGGAGCAGGCATAACCGCACTTGGTCTCGACCCAAGGAATGCTGCAGTACTGGAAATTAGAGTTAGTATGAGAGCATGCAAAGAAATCTGAACAAACGTACCTCCTCAACGACTGTCTTGATGAACTTGGTCAGACCGGGGTCGACAAAGTCAGTAATGACACCAACGCTCTCGGGCTGACCGGCATCGAGAGTCTTTTGGACGTAACCAGTCATATCCTGCTGAAGCATAGCCTTGACGTCGCGGCCATTCTCCTCGTACGACTTGAAGATAGCCTGGCTTCCGAGCAGACCACCCTCCTCAGCTGAGTACCAATGGAACTCGATGGTGTTGGGAGCCTTTCCCTTAACGACGTCCTTGGAGTTGAGAAGAGCGCGGAACACCTCCATGATAGTAACTGTACCGCTACCATCGTCATCAGCGCCTGGGGCGGCGAGAATGGAAGGGAGGAAGAGGTTGATGGAATCCTGGTGGGCGCCGATTACGACAGTGCTGTTAGACTGGCCAGGGATGGTCGCAATGACGGAGTGTTGCTTCCATGTGTGAGGGAAGCTCTCGGCGAAAACAGTATCCTCAGCGCCAGCGTCCTTGATGATCTGGTTGACCTTCTCAAGAACCCAGTCGGAGGACTGAAGGCCGTAGTCGGACTTGAAGTATCGGGTGTGGAAGCTGGTCAACTTCTCGAGGTTGGCCTGCATGTTCTTCTTCTCGAGGTTCTTGGAGAGCTTCTTGACATCATCCTGGTTCACGCACTTCTTGGGGAACGTGACAGTGCTCTCGGCGTTGATGCGCTTGGAGCCGAGCGATGGTGTGTCGGTGATGTCCATAAAGTTTTGGCCGTTCTATGTAGTGTTAGTTACCCAACGGAAGCTGAGAGCATTACATGAGACTTACACGGCGCATCTCCCACTTCTCTTCCTCAGTCACCCATTGCGTCTTGCCGGGGGCGGTCTCGACCAGGAACAGCTCGTCTGGCTGGAGAATGACGTTGTCGGCCTCGGCGGTTTCGATAAAGCGAGCGGAGACAGCAGGCAGACAAGCCGCCAGAAGAGAAGCCTGCGAGAACTTCATTGTGTCTGCAGATGCGATAATTGAAACGGTGAATGGCAAGAAGATGGTGTTTGGAAGAGGATAGGTATGAAGAAGGCGAAGACGCGCGGAACTGCCTACCTACCTGAGAGATAGGTAAGATCCGAGGCAGGTACCATGACGATCACGTAAGGTAGATACTTGCCGTTTCAGGCGATAGCGGTCATGGCTTGGTCGTGTGATTGCTCCGGAAGGTGCGGTGTGGAGACCCGGTTGCCATGAGGGAGGGGCTACCCAACTGTACCTGCTTCTTGTCAGGCGATATGCGTCCAAGCCAAGATATGATGAGTATACTTCCCTAATTGATAACATTCTTTCATATGTGAAAAGATATCGATCTTCCCTATCATGGTAAACATATACTTCTCTGAGCAGGCCAGTATCTGAAGCCTTTTTATATGTCCTTATGCTAATTCCATTTATACACTCTCGGCTACCCAGGTACATCACCGTTAGGTCTAGTTAGCGGCTGCAACATATCATGAGAGCTTCTAGGGTAGCTTCGGCCACAATGATAAACTCAAACCAAGACATGTTTTCGGCAATTGTCTAACCTTCGGTAGTTAGGTTCACCAATACAGCTATAGGAGATCACCAGACACCGTGATTTGTCCAAGAAAGAAAACATCAAGTCAAATCTAGAGCCTCATTAGCTCACATTGATGAACTGGCCATCATGATTATTGAATCTCAGACAAAAGATTCTGACACGGAGAAGCTGGGGGGCACAAAGCCGATATCACGTTGCATAATTCAAACAAGGCAAATGGTAGTTTGCTAACAACATCTAAAGAGGTTTGCTTCCCTCTCATTCGCTATTGGCTGCTTGGAAAACCTACAGCTAAGCCGTGATATAGACGTATTCCACCACTCCTGTGTAGGTAGTTTCACTTACAACAGATATATGATATTTGCATCTGATGAAGCCCTTTCAGTCATGTGAGTGTTCTAGTGAACATGGTATGACTTATCTGTTACAGGCTCTGAATGCAGGTGTTTGAGCCTCTTTGTGAGTCCTGGGGAATAAAGAAGCCCGGCTTCTTTGTTTGGCAAGTATTTGTTCATTAACGAGCGTAAAATATCTTCAAGCGACCATGGTATCTTTAGACTAAGCGTCTACTTTGTCTTTGATGTCTATAGTGTTCATGCAATACATAGCCTTTGTTTACTGGGAAAAGACCTTCATAAAGCAATAGATCATTGTTCACAACAAGAACATGCCATTGCACTCACAATCACCATGATGAAGAAGATATATAACAGACGCTGTGTCTTCTCAGTTCAAACATGTTCAACCATTTAGTATCACAACCCATTACGTTACTAGCAAAGCAGAGCTTTGTCGAACATCCAATCCATTATCGAAACTATTCACAACTATAAACACAATGCCGAACAAGAAACCCAGCCCGAAGGGAAAGGGGAAGGGCAAAGCCAAGGCTGCTCCAAGACCTCGAAATCCTGAGCCTACTCCTCCTCCTCCTCCTCCTCCTCTCCTCCTCCTACTACTACTACTACTACTACTCAATCAAGTCTGCGACTGACCCGAGCCCGCTCCAGGCTGAATGGTGCCCCCCCTCTGATGGCGAAACTTGAATCTGATAGAGATTGCCGAAGACGTTCCCTAGTTGCGGACCCTGAGCCCTTGCCATTCAATGATGTTGTTCAGAGGCTCAGCGGCACTGCTAATATAGCTAACACAGAGAGAAGAATTAAGCTCAAGCTTAATTACGCTGCACGCCCTTCAGCTGCTGGCCCTTCAAACCAGGGTCAGCCCTCAGGTTCGAATACAGCAGCAACATCGAGTTCATCTTCTTCCGCTACAACTTCTGCTGCAGCAATTGCCACTCCGTCCCCAAGCCCAAGCCCTAGCACAAGCTCAAGTTCGAGTTCTAGTTCAAGCTCAGGGCGTTCAGCCCCTACTGACCAGAACGAATCTGCAGCTCCAAGGAGGGGAGTGATCAAAGTTAACACCCGTAATGGTGCAGCTTACCGAGAAGCTCATGCTTCTTCATCACCTGCGGCGGGCCCTTCTGGTCAGGGCCGTCATCTTGGCACAGGCTCTAGCTCCAGCTCGGAGCTTTCATCGCTACCATTCACATCCCCTTCCCCTCCTCCACCCTTTCCTTCTGATCAGGATGAGCACTCCAGCTCAAGCTCGAGTTCAGCATCCTCATCACCATCTTCTTCGCCTTCAGCGGAAACTGTAGCACCTGGGACCCCAATGCCTTCGGCAGCTGGGCCATCCAATGATATTCCATCCTCGAGCACTGGCTCAGGCTCAAACTCGGACACAGAATCCTCTTCGTCGAGCTCACCTGCTCGAACATCTCCACCTCCAAACCACCCAAGTCCCGATACGATAAAGGTAGACGTATTTATCGCTACAGGTCACGAACAGCCGAGTAGCGACGAGTATGAAAGCGATGGCGACGGCTGTTCTGGCGATCCCCCAAGGGATGGATCTGAGGATGAGTCAAGTGGAAGCGGAGGCAGCAGTGGTTATGAACCCTCTGAGGAAACTGATGACGATACAGTATTTACCGGCTCTGAAAGCTCATCAGACTCGGAGGAAGACGATGGTAATGATGATGATGCGTCAGGAGGGCCATGCTCTGGGCCTTCTAGCTCCTCTGGTCCCCCAGGTCCCCCAGGTCCCTCTGATCCTCCTGGGTCCTCGGGTGTTCTGATTACCGATGGTTCTCCTTCCACCCAAGAGTATCCAAGCGGATATGAGGGTGATGATGAGTACAATTCAGGGCCGGCCGCTGACGGTTCCAGCATTGTACGCGATGATACAGGGGCGTGGGCAATGGTGAGTAACACGTCAGGGTCCAGGAACCGTTCTACATGCCTTGCTGGATTTGACTCGCCCAGGCTCGATGGCCGTTCTAGACGGCCAAGCCGTCCTGCAGATATAGAAGTTCCGTTCATCGACTATAGCGGATATGATGCTCAAGTCGGTTGTGAGGAGGAGGACAGCCCAGACTGCGCGGAGTTTATCGGACCACTGAGAAGCTCATTCCCAACCTCTGTTCAGCCTATCGGACGATTGGACACTCCTCCTGCCCACCCAGGAGGTGCCGTGGGGAAGCGCAAGCGATCTTGTGACTACGATGAGGATGCCTCCGCAGCAGGAATCAAAAGGGTGCGCTCTTTGTCGCCGCGTATGGTTGTTGAAACATCGACAGCCACAGTCACGACCACACGCTCTGCTTCTGAGCCTTGGCAACCTATGGCCTGGACCTCTAATTCCCCTGTTTCCGATGAGCCTAGTCCGTTGAGCAACGAGCCAGTCGCATACGCGATGATTGCCACTCCCGTGGACGACCTAACCTCAGGTGAACTCAGCCCGCCAATCTGGCCGTCTTTCGATCCGTAAGTCTAGACATCCACTCATTGTCAGGCCGCAAACTAACAATCCCAGTGAAATCCCAGGTATGCACGGCTCCGGGCTGAGAGCTCGTCGCCATTATGACTGGTACGAGCAGCTTCATTCAGTAGGACATGAGTGCTACAAGGTCCACCCTTGTACTCACAATATGGGGAGAGGATGCCACGAGTGCCATAGTGACTGGCAAGAGGATTGGGCTCGGTTCTTCAAGGCTGAGGAACTTCTGCACGAAGCAGCTGCTGACCCCGAGAGATATCTCAGAGAGACAGGACTGGATATGCGTGAGGACTTTATGGGAGCCTTGTTGCAAGGCGCAAGTTGGGAGGTGGTGGCACCTCATCTTCTGCCTCCCGCTGGCGGGAGGCTTCGAGTTCACCCTATGCGACTTGCTAAGCATAGGCTGATCCTTGCTCAGTCGGCAGCGCAGGTATGAGTTGGTAGCGATGTTAGTCAGGTATTTCATGGAGTTCAAAATAATGGGCTATGTTTTGATTTAGACGTTAGACAGGAACTTTGGGAAGAATTGGTATAGAATAATAATCGACTTACAAGTCGTTCTCCTTTAATTGCGCCATGTATGTATGCTTCACCCCTTTTTCGTGAATTCGTAATTCTTCGCTCATAGCCTAGATGGAGGGTCATAGTTCCATGTCCTCGTCGCTCGCCTCATCCGACTCATCACCACCGCCTTGTTCCTCCTCGTCTCTCCGTGTTGCTTCTGTGCTTGCGCCGAGTTTCCTTACACCTTCCACTACACCGACGACGAATCCTCTGCTCTCTGCGAGCTCCATAGCTCCCACTCCTCGCAGGCTCATGACACCGTCGACTCCACCCTCAAGTTGGGCGGTACTGGAGCGCATCTTTGCAGCCCTGACTTCTTGTAGATCTCGAAGTAGCGAACGCACTTCTGAAGAGGAGGCGACATCGTCTGAGGCGTGGGCGAGGAGCATTTCTGCGACTTCGAACCAGTGATATGGCAGGGCACCTGAAGGCGCATCTGATGTACAGGATGGAAGAAACGGCGGCGACAGTACTACGTCGTCATCGACAAAGGGGTCTAGTCTCCTGGCGTTTCCCTGACTATCTGCCCGCACCGGAGGAGGAGGTGGTGGCGCCCATCCTTTAGGGTCGACCTTGGTTTCGTGGTGTACAATATCGCGTAAAGAATCGGGATGAAGCCAAGGAGGAGGAACAATATTGGCGCGCCGTTGCTTCTTTAACAGTATCGCAAGCCATAAAGGCAAGTTACTTCTGCGCGGCGGCCGGAGAGTTGGTGTCGTGCCCTGTGTAACAGTAACAGGTCAGGTCAGCGTCGAGCGTATATATAAACGCGACGGGGACGCGCTCACCGATAGAAGATCAATGCTCTCAAGGCGTTGGCGGGGAACGACAGTGACGAGTTCCATTTCACATAGAAATGCGACTTCTGAGGGAGTGAGCCCTGAAGGAAGTGGTAAGGCCATTTTGTGTGGTCCAATCGAGGTTTAGTATCTCGAGTTGTAGGATATAAATTGGAGGTTTTCATAGAATGCCCCTCACTACTATGTTAGGGAGCTGCTCGGCGTGTCATGTCAACCCCACCACTAGACTAAGGTAGAGCTCCCTTCATTCATAAAAGTTAGCACTGATGTCAAATAATTATCACCGTTTATGATATCGGCTTTCCTTATATTCAAACCGATTCAAACCACTAGCCGATCTCGAATTAAGTCAACTCGAGAAATGCAGTGTATAAGATTGCTTAGTACGCTGACAGTCGACAACTTATTTCCACCAATATCCTCATGGCTTACAAGTTGTCATGATGTACAATGGTTCAATGAGATCAGGGAAAGACGCTGACACTTCGTCTCCCCAATTCATCACCTTATACTCACTCACTCGAACCCTCCACAGTCATTCAAGCATTTCATATTGGAATCCAAAAGAAGTCACTCCTAGACTTGAACAAATCAAGAAAGACTGACGCAAATTCTCACAACAAGTCAAATTACATGATTTTACGAAATCGAATGATACCAATCGAGTCACGAATACTTGGCAACGTGGAATATAAGACTCATCCGGCGTGTTCAGGGTAAATGTCCAGCTCCACAGCCGATGCGGGGCCGCCCCTAGTTAGAACAGCGTAAATCTGAATATCCTCTCCCGTTCATGAGGTATAAGACGCCTCAAAACGAGACATTATTACAGTTTATGAACATACAAAACAAAAATCCAATACAAGAGTTTAACCCACACATCTATACAGCAACAATTTACAATGGCGTCAACTGAAGCCCTCCCCCCGGTCACATCTCCATCTCTTATACTTACAAACCCCACCTCCTCTGAACGAGAGCTCATATGGAAGGGCACTCAACCCCATTGGGGAGCCGCCTTGTCCATGGAGGACTATATCACTAGAGAATACGATAATCTCGAGGCCCCTCTGGCTCGGGATGGCGGCGTAACAAGCTGGATCCTCACCGATGGAGACAAAAAGCCCGGTCAAAGACCCGTCCTCTCATCTTGTGAGACCTACAACAAAAGAGCCTTTGTTCGAACCAAGGATGGAAAAGCAAGAGATGGAACGGCTCACGGTGTGGCCAGTGTCTTTACTTTTCCTGAATATAGAGGAAAGGGATATGCCAGAAAGATGCTGTCCCTCATTGCGGATGAGCTGAAAAGCAGACAGCAAAAGAATGAAGGCGCTGCTGACTTCTCGGTCCTTTGGTCAGATGTCGGACCGAAATTCTACCAAACGATAGGATGGGAACCCTTCAGGAGCACATATCTCGAGTTTCCAGTCACTGAGACTGAGCCAACTGCCGATTCATCCCTGAAGCCTATCACTCTCGATGACATTCCAGACCTGGCAGCTCGAGATGAGCAACTTCTTCGAGACAGGATCTCAAAGTCATCTCAAGTCAGCGCTGCAGTCATTCCTGATATCACCACTATCAAATGGCATATTCACCGGGAGAACTTTATGTGCAAACACATCTTCTCCCGCACACCAACTGTCCACGGTGCTGTATACACTCCACCTGACGCCCCCAACTCGAGGATCTGGGCTCTCTGGACTTGCAGCTTCTACGGCATGCTTGACCAGCCCGAGAAGAACGTCATTCGTGTATTGCGCCTAGTTGTGGAAGATGAGAGCATCTCAGATGAGACATTTGCCAAAGGCATCCAAGCCATTGCAAGTTTCGTTCAGAAAGAGGCCAAGGAATGGAAATGCTCCAAGGTTGAAGTTTGGAACCCCGAAGATCGGGTGCGAAGGGTCACAGAAAGCATCCAATCCCTTGGAGCCAAATTCATCGTCCGGGAAAACAGCAACATTGCTAGTCTAAACTGGCTCAATGGTTCTGACCCGGAAGTTGACTGGATTGCTAACGAGAGGTTTGCTTGGTGTTAAATACTGATATATCCCGGCTCGAACAGCACAAAAGCTAGCAGTGACTCGATAGAAAACAGTTGTCTAGACCAACGAGATGTTGATAAATATGATCGCTACGATCTATCTTCTTTTCTTAACTGTTTTGATTCCGTGACCAGCCCCCCATCCCATTTTCATGATATAATCACATTCACATCAAGTCATAAACAATCGCACTGGTGTATCATAAACATGCCAGGTCAACGCCTTCCCGCTCCCTGACTATAAAATTTCATTCAACTCCTTAATAGCTTCGCCCGAACATGGTCCACTTGTCGGCCTTATCTTGGCACTCAGGGCTGAGGCACTTGGTCTCACCAGGGACAATACCCTCGGGCTGCTCAAAGGGAACACACAGACTCTTCATGCCCATAGTGGCAAGCTTCTGGTTCTCGGGGACATCAGGCTGGTCCTCACGAGTGGTGAGCTCCTTGATGCGGTCCTCACACTTGGGAGCACCACAGAAGGGGATGAGCACAACGTTCTTGTTGTCAAGAGCGGGAAGAACATCCTCCCACTTGGTGATAGTGAGTCGGTGCTCTCGGAAAGACTTCTCGGCCTTGCTGTACATATCTGCTTGGATGGTCTCAAGAAGCTCGGGGATCTTGGTAGCGACATCGGTGATGGCAATTTCTCCCTTCTCGCCGGTGTCACGTCGCGCAGTGCTGACAACGCCCTTGGCAGCATCCTTGGGACCGAACTCGATACGCAGAGGAACACCCTTGAGCTCCCAGTCGTTGAACTTCCAGGCAGGAGTGTAACCCTCTCGCCAATCAGAGGTGACACGAACACCAGCCTTCTTTAGGTTGGCTCGGATGTCCTCAACCTGCTCCTCATGCTTCTGTCGCTCCTCAGGGGTAGTCTTCTTGGTAATGCCAACAGGGACGATGACAACCTGAGTCTTGGCCACACGGGGAGGAAGAACCAGACCCTTATCGTCACCGTGAATCATGACCATGACACCAATGACACGGGTTGAGAGACCCCAAGAGTTCTGCCAGACGTGAATGTGAGAGCCCTTATTGGCAGGGTCCTCAACGGTGATGTCGAACATCTTACTGAAGTTCTGGCCAAGGGCGTGAGAGGTGGCGCCCTGGATACCACGGCCGTTGGAAGGAATGTAGCCCTCGACAGTGGTGGTGTAATAACCACCGGCGAACTTCTCATTCTCGGTCTTTCGGCCTCGAACGACGGGAACAGCCAGAAGCTTCTCGTAAACACCAGCGTAAAGCTCAAGAATCTCGAGCACCTCAGCACCAGCAAGCTCCTCAGTCAAGTGAGCAGTGTGGCCCTCCTGCCAGAGGAACTCACGGGTTCGGAGGAAAGGAGTTGTTTGCTTGGCCTCCCAGCGAACGACAGAGTTCCATTGGTTGAGGCGGAAGGGGAGATCTCGGTGGCTGCGAATCCACTTGGCATAGTAGGGGTACATGACGGCTTCGGAGGTAGGACGGACCGCAACAGGAACCTCGAGATCCTTGTCACCACTGGAGGGTTGTCAATATAGGTTCATAAAAGCAACGATTTGCAAGGGCATTCTTACGCCTTGGTGACCCAAGCAAGCTCAGGGGCGAAGCCCTCGACGTGATCCTTCTCCTTCTCGAGCGACTTGGAAGACAGGAACATAGGGAAGTTGGTCTCGTCAACGCCCATCTCCTCGATGTGAGCCTGGAACCACTTTCGGATCTCGTTCCAGATATGCATGGCAAGAGGTCGGAGAACGAAGAAACCCGAAATCTCGGTGTAGTACTCGACCATCTCGGCCTTGAGGACGACCTCCTGGTACCATTGGGGGAAGTTCTCGGCCTTGGACACTGTAATTCCAATGATCTCGTCCGCCTTCTTTCCGCCGACGACGGGAAGGTTGGTCTGCTTGGCAGCCTTGGCAGCCTTCTCAGCAGCAAGACGAGCCTGCTTCTCGGCCTTCTTCAAGGCGCTCTTGGACTGTTCGGCGGCGCCCTCCATTTTGGTGAGATTCGTGCGTTAGTCGAAAGGTAATTGACAGAAAAGTAATA